CTCCAAACGGCGCAATGAAGCCGTCAGCAGAGTCAAAATATCTGGGGGTTCACTGTACCAGATGCAAGTAGTCTGAGGTTGCTGTGGCTGATAATGACAGCTTCTGCCTTATTCTCATAGGTAAAGCCTCTAATACTTCCTCAAGTACATTTCAAAATTAATAAAAACGAAACCAAAAAACCAGCTCCAAAAGCTCAGGTTCTGCCTCACTGTTTTTAAATTAACACCAAAAAGCAAAATAGTGAAAGACAAACTGCCCTTCAGGTTTTTGTACTTAACAGTTGCTTGCATCTGTCTCCTCCACCTTCAAACTGAAGAAATCACCCCTTATAGCCTGCAGAGTCACTGACAAGCTTCTGCTCCTTTTCTGGACTTCCAGAGGGAAGAAAGATCACAGGACCAAGGCAGTGCAATCAGTCATGCCAGGACATTTTCTTGATTCCTTGAAAGTGACAAACTGAAAGTATGGCTATGATCCTCCCTAGAATCTGACATCAGTCACAAGCCAATAATACAATTTGGCTTGTAGAGATGTTCTGGGTGCAAGTGAGATTCCCGACTTGCTCCTACACCAGCCTATGAGATTAACAAAGATTTAACTTCTTTCTCCCGATGCAAGGCCCAAAGTCAAAACATAGTGCTCTTGCCAATACAGAAGGAAGCTGGACTGCTCAGATTTGGGAGGGGATGTGTGTCCGGTCTGTGTGCATTTTGTAACATTCAAAACCTCATTCACTGAATTTCTTGCTTACCTGATCTTTACATTTAAATTGTTGCAATGATTCACCTCTTCATTTTAACAGAATGCTAAATGTATCATACTCCTAGCATCAGCTAATACAGTTGTTCTAAGGAAGGGCTTCTGAAAAGGTTTCTTTGTAAGTGCTTGATTTCCTGAGATCACATTTCAGTCATAATCCAGCTATCGAACTACTCTGTAGGTGACACCCCTGAAGTACGAGTACTTGGCTTAGAGGAAAAAAACACCACTAGAAAGTATTTCCTGACAAAGTAACCTCTTTTAGCTATTTATTTGCACAGTACTGGTGAGGAAAATGCCTGCAAAATTTGCTAAACTTGGTTTGGAGATACCGAAGTTTATTAATACAATATTACTGCAAAGCATAGAGTCCACATTCTACCTAAAACACATGTGCAAAAACCCATAAGAAGTCAGTATTGCATAGCTGACTTTGAGTGCAAAATACCACCCTCATTGATCCTTGCAAAAAGCCAAAATGTTGGGCAAGAATAAAAACCTTTCTAAAATGAGTAAAATTCAGGAACTGTTTTGCTTTATAAGAAAAAGGAAAATTAGCCACATTCAGGACAGTCTTCCTCCAAAACACTAACTAAAAGAAAATCAAGGGGTGAAATTCAAGTATTTTTCAACTACCAAATCTACAGAAAACATCAACACATCACAACAATTAAACCCACTAAAAATCAGCTAGGAAGCTACTAAGTGGATAGTCTCATATACTAGAGAACTGAGGAAAAGGAAAAGCTACTTGCACATGTCAAAATACCGAGGACTTTAAAATTGCCAAATCCACTTAAATTTTCCTGACAGCCTGCACATACCACTTACTATTTAAGATCATCATAAAGCAGTGACAGGAATATTCACTGTTAATTCTTTCATACACAATTAATTGCCGGTGCTCCTTATATGAATAGAAAGCCACAGAAAACTTGCAGAAGTATTACCCCTATCTCAGGGGGGTACAACAGAACAGGGCAAGATTACCATTTGCTTATTTCCAAAGAGATAACGAAAAGCATCTAGTAGCCATTATATATTTACTTCATTTTACAGCATATAAACCTGTGTGCTCTAGTCATTTATTTTCCTTTGCACTGTGGGTGGAACAGACAACCTTTACATTATACCACTTCAGTTTTCATAGCACTTGGAAAATACACATAATGATCCAAGTGGCTGTGTGTTGCTATCAAGAAAATGAGGAACTTGAACATTCTCTTCTGTAATGTTTGATCAGATACGCTAAAAACTTAACTCTCCATGGAAGTATAGAAACTGGACTGCACACACATCATTTAAGACCAGAAACTAAGCTTCAGCTCTGAACAATATTCGTCCATTTAACTGCTATCTTTCAATCTGTCAGAAAGATTATTCTGGACAGATCCTTGGCACAGTGCTCAGGAATGTACTCTTAGGTACTCTTCAGCTGTTTTATCACTGCCCTGGAGAATCCTTTCTCTTTAGTCTTAATCTGCAGGGGTTTTTTGTAGTGTATCACGACAAGATATAGTACTGGTTTAATAATTACCACTACAATTTTGATGTAAAAAGTCTTTGTTGCCTCAGAAAAAGTGTTCCTAAAAGCTTCTTAGAAGTATCTAACGTACTGAGAGAATTCTGGTTTATAGGGATTTTTTTGCTTATATTCTTTCATTAGTGAAGATAAGAAAAATAGACAGCATTCCTTGGTAGCTCATCTATACATCTGCTTATTCCCTGAAGTCATACTCCGAGCCTCTTCTTTTTCTTAATATCACAATACTTCCAAAGGTACATAACAAGCAAGGAAAATAATAAAGCTGAACGCTTTCAATAAAGAGGCTGTTCTTGAGAGACAGAAGGTTTAACGATGTTCACCACCTGCATTTATCCACATGCAAAGAATCAGAACTGATGTATGCAGCAAATAAAAGTAAAATGCTAAAGAACAAGGAATTAAATTCCTGATGATTACCATTAGAAGACAGAACAAATGACTTACTGGAACTGGACAGCAACAGAGCTAAAAACAAGGCTTCTAATTAGCATTTGTTCATGTCCTAACTGTCAGCGGCATTTGCCTGTTATCAAAACTTTAGTGGCAAAATGGTAAAACAAATATTAAAATAATAAAGGCAAGTAGTTTTAGTCTAGTGTGAAGATTGTGTTCAAGTTATTTTAGATCTGCACCTAATTAACAGCAACAGGAAATTAAATGATTAGAAAAATTATGAGAAAAAACTTCCCATTAAGGTCCTGGTATTCCTTGTTTTCACAAACAGGCTTTGGCAGTTTGGTAACAGACAGAGCCAGTCAGATTAAAATAAAAATGCAGCTTTAGGTATTCTTAATTTCTTTCTCTGGGTGATATAAAATGCTGTGATCTCAAACAAGAACATAAAATTCTCTCAGAGAAGTGATCTTATTTGCTCCTGTTCACACATGGCATGCGGTAAAGAGTTCTTCAAATGACTAGAATGGACTACACAGTAAGATCAGCAAAAGACGTCCCACATAAATTATGGTCATCTTGCTAAATAACGCGTATGACTTCTTGTCCCTTTAGTATTCTGTATCTCAATAAGAGACAGCAAAACGAGTATCACCCCACTGAGCTACAGAAATTATCCTATACTTCTTTTACATTGTTACCTTTCTAAACACAAGAAGATACTTTCACTGTCTTATCTAATCTTGCAAGCATAGCTCAGACATGTCATATGCTGAGTAAGTAAAGAGTATTTTTAGAAAATCAGTTTTTTCCAAACTTGAGAAATAAAAGACAAACCCATATGTAGTTAATAGACTTCAGCATCTGTTTTCATATTACTGGGGGGAAAAAAAAAATCAGAACTGATAATTTTTTAAGATGCATACTGAATGCATTTCTTAGCCTGTATGAAAACAGATGATGTACTCAACGATAAAAGAGTACCTAAAAGTGTCATTCAGCTGTTCCTTACCCTTTAATCTAAGTATGCTTGTTTTAATTATCCTTTGCTCATTTCACCCAAGTTGTGAATTAACACAGATCTTCAAAGGATTAATAAATGCTAGTATGTCTTTCTCTACACGGATTTACCAAAAAATGTCTTCACTTGGGAGGTCATTAAAACAAGGTAAAAGAAAAAATTTATAAACCAGACTGCATGCGCATTAGGGTCCAAATGGTCTCTAAACTAAAACTGAATCACCACAAGATGTATGTATATGAAACTTTCAACCAATACTGAGGTCCTCTGTGTCCATCAATTCTTTGACAAAAATGATAGGGAGAGCATAGAATTAGTCAGGGAAAAAGCAGAGCTTTGTAGGAAGAGAACCTAAATTAATAGTAGGGGCCTCCATCCACCGCATTGATCAACATGAAAGTGCTACAATGAGTGATGTACAATTAACCAGCTACACACTAACAAGGCAGTACAACAAATCACAGCCAGTTTCCAACAAAGTCAGCAACAAACTCACCTGAAGGCACTGGTACCATTAGTAAGGCAACTGATACAATTATACCCTGAATCAGTACATTAAAAGCAAGTCTTTTAGTAGGGGATGACAACTGGAATACATTAACATCAACAATATTAATCGGGGCCTTGATCCATTATGTGCTATTCATCCATAATTATAAAATTTTAAAACAAACATCCTTTCTAAATGGATGATGCAGTAGCATATTAGAGCATTCTAAATATTTCTCAATCTTTTTATAATACATATTTAAGCATACACTTGACCAAGAAGAGTGGAACAAACAATCTGAAAATATTCAGCTCTGCCAGCAAAAGAGGTAACACCAGTAGATAAAGAAAAACCTGAAAAAAAATCATCCTGCTTCCCTATTAAATGCCAAGAAAAGAGCAATTATTTCTGTCATTGGTAAGTTTTTTAGTAGCAAATATATTTCACAATGATATTATATACTAATTTTGCATTTCTGTAATGAGTTTTCAGCATTTTTCTGAAGCAACAGGTTAGCACATGAAATAAAAAGCCTAATTCCCTTTGTTCAAAGAGAGTCTTACAAAGCGTAACAACTCTTTTAGGCACAATTGTATCAACTGTGACAGGAAATACACACTGTTACACAGCCTATATGAGGCTTTTCATAAGAGACCAGACTTGATACAAATAATACTCAGTTTTTATACAGCACTCCTCTAGATGTTTTCAAAACTTTGGCACATTGAAAAAAAGCACAGTGGGGGAGAGAGAGAGAGGGACTTCAAAAAATATAAGCAAAGGGCATTACTGAACAATGAGAAACGATACTAAAACCCTTTCCTGAACTGTAAAATAACAGCAGTAACAAGGGAGAAAGAGAAAGGATGCTGGTTGATTTTCCTTGAATGTTGTCACTTGCAACAGAAGTGGCCTGGATCACAGGGCAGTTTTCTTTCTAAGGGCAAGGCTTCTCTACCTTGCTGTTGCTGGTTGGACATGACCAGGGTAAGATCTCCTTGTGCTCGTGGCTTGCCTTTGTCTAGCCAGGAAGGACTGTCCTGAGCCTGTACTAGCCAGTCTATCTTCTGCTGCTTTTTTATGCAGAGTCATTCCCTATGGACAAAGAGAAACTTCTCAGTGAATACCAACACATAACACTGAACAACTTTACTCATTTACATTTTGTTTATTATCTCCTTCTTCACCAACACTAAGCTATTTTGAATGTCAAATACGAAGCATCATATTTTCAAGGATAAAGCTAAGATGTTTTTCCTAATTCTTTGCGTGTTCCTCTCCCCCCGTGCCCCTCAGTCACTGTCCAGGTTTGGTGTAAATGTCGAGAAGCAGGGCCCCCAGTGTCCCAGATCTGAACATATGCTTTGCCAGACAAGCACATGGTAACAATTATTTTCAAAAGTACTTCCCGTCCCCGTCCTGGCCCTCTTTCCGCATGTTGAACTAGAAGAGTACTTTTCTTCTGAAAATAATTAAAGTATTGTCATCCTCTGTGAACATACCAGCTCATACAGCAGCAGCACATCTTGAGAGAAAGTATGTTTTCAGCAGGAGTAAATACAAGGAGGAAATGAGGGAAGCTGTGATAGGTTGTGTAGTTGTGTATAAAAGCAGAGGCTAATTACAGAAAGACAGGCAAAGCTATTGGTGCTCATCTTAGTGTTCATGACAGGCTACTGAACCACAGCTCTTAGCTCAGGCTTGTCTTCTGCTTGTCAGTGGGACAAATGTTACAAAATTTGTCAAGGACATTTGTCACTTGAAAATGCCTTCAATATCTAAAGGATTCAAACACTCCATTTAAGTACCATTTTTGGCTTACTATTCATGGACATAGCAAGAACGTAGAACAGCAAGAAGAAAACTCTTCCAAAGGAAGACAGAGATGAGGAATTTGAACTCTATGATGAAGCAGTATGAAACATGAATGTTACACAAGCTAGGGATTCTTTCTATCTGAACAGTAGTTTCAATGCAGTCACACTCCACCAGAGAGTTAAGCCTTGAACACCATTTGCCAAAGGTGAAAAATCTCCCAGCATACAGGTCCAGCAAAAGCTGTATGGCTGCACAGATCACTTCCTCATGGTTTGAATAATGTAAATTAGGGTCTTGCCCCTGTGCTCACCCTTCGCATGGGGCTAAACTTGCACCCAAGTTAAAGGGGTCATGTCTCAGACCACTTACTGCAGCAAGTATGCTGTATTGCTTTTCTTATGCCCCTTCATTAGAAACAACTGGAAGATTGGAGAGTGGAGAATCAAAGAATATAAATTTGAGCACTGTAAGTCAGTATAACTGAAGGGCTTGAATTACAAAATAGTAATCTGAGGTATCCTTCCTTCTAGAAAGTGCCATTTCTGGTTTTAAAACTTGAAAATAACAAACATGTTCTTTTTAATTTACCCCAAGGTTATCATATGAACATACTCTTACATAGTGATACCTTAAAATTATTAAAAAGCATTTGTTTCTGTGTTGAAAAATGCTTTTCAAACAAAAAACCTGTAAATTAATGAATAATGTTATAAACACCCCAGAAACAACAAATATTAATAGTTTCTTTCCTGTTTGTTTTTTTGTTTGTTTTTTTTTTTTTTTAAAACATAAAAGGCTTGGGAGATTCTTACCATATTGTACCAGGCACTAACAATAAACTTCTCCTCCATTTCTCTTTGACTTTTTGTTTTCTCATATTCTTTCTATAAAACAAACATCAAAAAAGCATACATTTAAAACCAAGGTATAATAAAATTATTAGTCTATACACAAAACACAATGAGGAAATATGCATCTACCAGGAAACATGAGGATTACTACCTCCAATGAATGAAACATTCTGTCCCGCTCCTGCAACTGATTTTTCAGAGCCTGAATCTCAGGAGCTGCACCCTGGTTCTGCTTAGGATCTAAGGTGCGGATGACCTGTAAGAGAAAACCAGTTTGTTTTTAATGAAATTCTGCAAAAACAATCTAATTGAAGGGAAAGGCATCAAGGAATTACAAACTTTTTAGTCAAGTTAAGAAATAAAAAAGTGACTTCAACCATGTCAGTGGTAAGAAATGACACTCCAAAAGGTGAAACAGAGGGATGTGCAGTTTTAAGAGGCTGACTTCTGTAAAACAATCTTCACAGCCAGCATGACAGTCTCTGTCTCTGAACATCTGAATAGGGCTTTCTTTTACAGGACTGTGAAACAAAACCACCGGTAGGAAAAAGTGACACCTAAGAGGTTCCGTATCCCAGACTTGCATATGCAGTTTCTTCCTCCAGCTGCACTACCTTGGGGCCACAGTGGGAAAAATATTTTCTCAAAGGTTTCCCTCTTTATTGCTAAGGTTTACCTACCTGTCAATTCTTCCCGCTTGAGGAAGGACCGCTTTGGTCCTTATGGAAAGATACCATGATTCACCTACCTGGGGTACCAGGTGCGGTCATTTCTAGATAGTTCTATTAAGCCAAGAAGCATTCTGTAGCACATGCATGATCATTATGTTACTAATAAGACAAAGGGACATTTGGTTGTGTTTGTACGTGGCATCCATCACAGGCAGCATGAGTGCTAGCAAACACAGAGCTAAACTAAGAACAAATCCAGCAAAATCCCTAGATTCACAGAATCACAGAATTGATTAGGTTGGAAGAGACCTCGGGGATCACTGAGTCCAACCTTTGCCCGAACACCACAATGTCAACTAGATCATGGCACCAAGTGCCATGTCCAGTCTTTTCTTAAACACCCCCAGAGATGGTTTCTCCACCAGCTCCCTGGGCAGCCCGTTCCAATGCCTAAGGACCCCTTCTGTGAAGAAATGTCACCTAATGTCTAACCTGAACCTCCCCTGGTACAGTTTGAGACCATGCCCTTTGTCCTGTCACCAGTTGCCTGGGAGAAGAGGCCGACACCCACCTGGCTGCATCCTCCATTCAGGTAGTTGTAGAGGGCGATCAGGTCTCCCCTCAGCCTCCTTTTCTCCAGGCTAAACAACCCCAGCTCCCTCAGCCGCTCCTCATAAGACTTACCCTCCAGACCCTTCACCAGCTTTGCTGCCCTTCTCTGGACCTGCTCCTAAGCCTTTAATAGAAAATAGCTTAAAACTTTTTAAAAACCACTGGATATATAGAAAGAGACTTCACATCTTTTGTCTTTCTACCCATTTCAGAATCATGTCCAGACCCAGAAATAAAACAATGCTTTAAATTTTAGTAAGTCATTTTTACCGAATGGTACTCATGAAGGAGGAGTCATAAAAGTATACTATGTTTCTAAGAAAATGAACATTACACCTGGATACAGTTTCTATAGTTGATGGCTATAATGATTGTACTCATCTTCACCTAAAAAAAAACAAACTGAAAAGAAAATACTTACAGTTGATCTGAAAAATCACAAAAAACCCAACTAAAATAATTTATGCTACTGTTGTACAAAACACTCTATAGTAACACAGTACATACAAATCTAAAAATCTTACTGAAATGGGAAGTTGCGACTCTGTCTTTCACTGGAATGCTCTGAGACACAGTCAGCAACATAAGATGTAAAAAAAAAAATTAAAAACAATTTGTTTAGATTTCCTGAAGACTTTTGAAACGTCTCAAAAGAAATGACTGAGGAAACTATACAGAAATAAAGGAAGGAAGCATAAAGTTTTGCCAGATTACGAACCAACTTAGACTCCAATTTAACGACATGCAGCCATAGCACAGATCTTGATACTACCATGATCAGATGAATAAGGCACTGGTAAGCTTTTAAGAAACGCAAATAAAATATCGAGGTACAGTAAGAGAAGAAATGGGACTGTGACTGAGACCACAATATTACCATTTCAAAGCTGGTAGTATACCCACATTTTCAGTATCATACTTAAATATTAGCCACCTTCTTGACAGAAGCATATATTAAACAGTAAAGGCAAAGAGAATGCTGAACATCATCAGAGAATTGTCAGAGCTCTCCAAGGTGGTTCAGTTAAAAAGACCACTTTACTTGGAATAAGTGTCAATAAGAGGGTCCATACCTAAACAGTTTCTAAACCAGTCAGCTAAACCAGAACATGAATAGAAATCAGGGACAAAAAAAGAACAAAGAAAGCAAAATCAAATTTAAATCAGTAAAGATGGCTCTGGCATATGTGTGGCAATTACTTCCGCCTGTAGATTCTGAGACTCTCAAAAAGTATAAGCAATTTCTGTGAGCAATTAAGGACCTGATGACATCTGAAGTAGCTAAAAGCTATATTTATAAAAATTGTATCAAATTATCTGCTCCAGGTAAGACAGACATTACTGACTGAACACAGCAAGAAGCCTACACCATCCAGAAACACACATAAATAGATCCAGCTACCTGTGAAGGAAAGAACCCCAAACTTCCTTTTACCTCTCTGCCAAACTGATAAAACCAGGGTTTTTTTGGTCCAACTGTGCCTGTACTTGGTATTAACGAGCTGTATTTGTGTGGACAAAGAGGTAGAACTCTTTGTGACACTTGTGCCAGAAGTCCCCAAACATCCCAGCGCAAATGCCAATTAAAGAGTACTTTTCCTCACAGAGCTTCCTTCCCTTGAGTTGGTTTAGATGGGTGGTTCTCCAATTCTAAAATACAGCACAGTTATTTTGGTTATTTCTATACCACCAGTCCCAGTTTGGACACCTCTTTAGCTGATCTATACATTTGTCACTCAGAGACAGAAGTCCAGAAGAATGTCTGCAAAGAAACAGGTTATCACAGCATTAGAAAGGGTTTAACACCCTCTCCTTGTCATCAGCTGACAAAAAAGCATGCTTAACAAGCTTTGTTTGGGTGACCCTCAAAAATCTGTAGCAGTGGGTATATATTTGTACATAGGCATAGGAAGAGC